CTCTAGTACTTGACATTCCCCAAAGTTCACTGCCATACATTAATGTAGGCACAAGTACACATTTTACTAAGATAGCCTTGAATGTGAGAGGGATACGACTGTTTACCAGTTTTGGCATCAAGGTATCTAAAGTTTTCTTGCCACGCATTGCTGCATCATTGACAAATAACACAAAAGTATGTTTTTATATCTAATACACAATACTAATTATGATTAACTAGTTTATTTTAATAGTTAAATAGTTTTTAAATAAAAAACTCAACAATTTTTTCTTTTTTTTTGCGAATTTTCGTGAAAGTTTTAATAATAGCAATCATTTACTATTGCAACAAAAACAATAATAATCATTTTGTATGTAAGGATTACGACATATAAATAGGTAATAATTTGGCACCAAGCTTACAATGTATGAAAACACATATTTAAAAAACTAGGTATAATATTTTTTTAAAAAGTAAAAAACTTTACTAAAAATTAATTTAATTGGCATTTGTCTGTGGACCAAAAAATTTCAAGATCATTAAACAAGCTTCAAAAGGCATTTTTTCAAATCCTCTAAATTGTTTCTCAAAAATGACTCCTACAAACGGCTTATCCACTATAAATTCTCGAACATAACTTCCTGTTCTTATTCTTTCAGGAACCCGTACTGTTCCTTTTGCATTACCAAATCCATTTTCGTTAATATCCAATTGAAACTTAGTTACATAAGAAACTTCTCCTTTTAATAAGCCTTTTTCAGTCGATGGATCAAGAAAATCAGGGACAGTTTCATCAAATCCATCAAATCTTACAGCCTTACTAATATCAGTGATAGTGGAACATTTAATTGCCGGCATTTTTACAGTAACCATTTCATAATCTACTGTATCAAAGTGCTTTATTGCCATAGCTATTCTTTTTAGAGCATCCTTCCTTGTAATCCTTAATTTACTATCAGAAATTTGAGGCACTAAAACAAAAAATGATACAGGTTTATTATCCAACATAAGCTTCATTTCTAATATTTCTCCCTGTTCATCATCATACATTTTAAATAATCCTGTCTGACAAAGCATTTTTGTTTTTATTTTTTCGTACGCCCCATTAAATTCTCCATCTTTTGTTTCTCTACGATTGAATTTATTCTCCCATGTCGCATTTAAAGTAACAGTGTTTACAAAAATAATAGGCTTTTTAAAAAAATCATAAGAAACCTTTTCAGTAAACCAACTTCCAGTTTCTTTTTTTACTACATCGTTAATAGACATTAACGCTTTTAGAAGATTGCACCGTTCATATTTAAATTTATAAGCTTTTGTATTCATTTCCTTATTTATTTTGTTCAATAACCCATATTTCCAAACAATTTCATCCCTGTAAAATATAAAATTTTGAGATTTAAATTCTGAGGAGTACAAAGAATTTAAATTTTTAACGTGTTTAGAAACCTCCTTATACAAGTCATCAAAGTCTTTAAGTTCAGAATCAAAAAAATAAGTAAATTCCTTTTTTCTCTCATCGGAAGGATTAGATGCCAAAAATCCAGCTATATTAAAAAACAGTAAGGGTGAAAACGCAACGGTATCTTTTATAGAATACGCATTGTTGATAAATTCGTCTTCTACAGGCTTTTTTGTTCCCTCATAGCCAGGCTGAAATACTGACCTTGAAAAAGCAACACTAAATTTATTTGTAACGCTGTCTAATTCGCTTTCATGTGTAGATTCAAGAATCGATTCTAATTTTTTAAAAGGTGTTTCATAATCAACCATGGCCTCTTTAAAATCAAGTTGTAGTGATTTATCAGGTGATTTCTGTATTGAATAAAACTTAAATGCTAAAAAGAAATTCGCCATTATGGGATAAAAAAAAGGCTTTTTTATATACAGTAATAAATTAATATTTGTAACATAAATTATATCACATAGAAGAAATAAAACTTTTAATATAAAAATGAATATTTAAGTTTTCAGTAATTAATTTTAATAAGTGTCATAAATTAATAATTTAAATTTATGATTAAGTACAAAGAAATGTAAAATGTTTTGTTTAATTATAATGAAATATTAATTAATAAATCTTATAATTGGGTAATTAGTTGTTGTGATAAGAACAAACTTTTTGTAATAAATTAATAAATCTGCATAATCTGAAAGATAAGAAGATTTAATAAAAATTAAACAATTTCTGAAAAAATGATTAAAGCATTTTACTAAAAGTTTGAATTTTCTGTTGAAAAAATCTCTTAAACAATAAAGCCTCTTTAATTGTAATGTATCTCTATAAGGCCAATAACAAAATATAAGACTGATTTAGTAGCTTATATTATAGATATTATTTATAATCGGGTAATTGGTTTTTAAATCTAAAATTTCTAAAAAAAGCTAGCCATTTAAAATAGCAAGGATGTAAAAATGTTGATAAGTAAATCGGGACCTGACAAAAAGCATAAGAGGTAAAACAAAAACATTGAAATTTGGGCTCGTACAGATGCATCATTAAAAGAAGTTAAAAAATACATTTTTATAAGATATTGCTAATTTTTTAAGATTAGAAAAAGAGTGTATTTTTATGGTTAAATAATTTGATATATTGATTTATCAAAAGTAAAATAAACCGTTATTAAAATGGAGTGTATGGATAAAACATGGGTTTATTTAAAAATATAAATTTAAGAAGTAATTTTTAAGAGCATTAACATATTTGAAATTTTAAAGTAAGAGATAAACAATTTACTGGCGAAGCAAATTAAAAAATATAATAAAATAATATTTAGAATTTTGTCAATGCTACAAATAGAACTTTAAAATTAATCTTAAGGTAAAGTATAAATATTACACTAAAGGTTTAATAAATTTTAATCACAGAGAAGTATTTAAATGTAATAAAAAGAATATGAGACACCTTAAACCATTAAAATAAAAAAATACAGAATTATAAAGGAAGTTATATCTTTTAAATTTAAAAGTTACAAGATTTTTTAACATAAAATTTAATTCTATGTGGGATGAATTTAAATATTAAAAAAATAAGGTTTATGCATTATTTTTAACCCATGGATAAAGAATATTTTCTGCATAAAATGGTATTATCTCCTCCATTTTTATTTCGTAGATTAAAAGGAAATTTAAAATATGAGGGTCGAAGGAATATTCCGTGTCTACCGATATGCTGTAATCTTAAATTGCATAAATTAGAATGTACAAATAAACAGTATAAACACTGTAAAATATTAGGATATAATTTTAATGGAATGACAAAGACATCTACTTTTCATACTAAAAAGCAGGATTTAAATAATCCTAAATTTACTCTTACATGTTTTTCTTGTTATGAATCTACTGTCTTATATTTTTATTTATACAACAGTAATTCATTTAAGATTTTTAAACTTGTAGTTAATTTATGTAACTTACCCAGAGAGAATATTATTGAGATAGAAAATGATAAAGATATTTTATTTATAATGTATACAATAACTGATAGGTGTAAATTACATTATAATGTTAGTTGTGACAAAATAATTGATTTTAGTCATATAAAAAGACAATACATTGAAAGTAAATTTCAAGATGATTATATAAATTATAATTTTACATTTTATTCACAAAATTATAAAAGACATAGAAATAATTTAGAATCTAAATTGAATAATAGCAAATTTATTAAAGCAAATAGCTGTACATCTATTATAAACATACATGATAACTATTTAAGCTATCATTTTTGTAAAAATATAAATAGTTGTTATAGAGACACAATGATAAAATGGAATCATTTAAGATTTACAAGTAATTTATGTACTGTTGATTTAATTATTAAATTTACTAATGAATTTATTGAACAAAAAGATAAATTAGAATTTATTTATTTATTTTTGTATAAAAGAATAATTAAAAAAAAGGATTTTATATTTATTATACAACAATGTGTATAGTATTTGATAGTAATGTATAAAATTTATTTGACAGTAATGTATAAAGTTTATTTAACAGTAATGTATAAAGTTTATCATACAACAATGTGTATAGTATTTGACAGTAATGTCTGTTATTATTTTATAATAAGAAATTTACATAATTAAGCAAGAAAGCATAAATTACATAACAAAAATTAATAAATATATGATAATTTCTTATGGAATAAAAAAAGTATACTTTACAAAATTAATAATAATTACTCGGGTTTTTCTTCTGGTTGTATTGAATATCCACTTATACTATCACTACTATACTTGTCTCTTATTTCTCTATTATTAGAGAAATGATTAAACACACTCTGTGCATTTTCTAATTTTCTTACTAAGTTTGTTTTTTCATTTTCAAGATCTTTAACTTTTATTTTATATTCCTTATTATCTTTTACATATTTTTTTAATTTTTCTTCTAAATTTTTATTTTTCTTTTTTATTTCTTCCATATTCTTTTCATATCTTTCTATTTCATTTTGTCTATTTTTTATATTATTTTCTATCTCTTCTAATTTATTTTTATAATCTAAGTTTTCTGTTCTTATTTTCTTTATAATCTCATTTGCTGTTTCTAAATCTTTTCTAATATTTTCATTAATATTTTTTATTTCTAAATATTCTTCTTGCAATTTATTACTCTTTTCTTTATCAACTTTTAATTTAATATTTTCTTTTTCTAATTCATAAACCTGATTATTTAAACTTTTTATTTCATTAGTCATTTTTTCTATTTTATATTTATACTCTTCATTTTGTTTATTTAAATTATTTAACTTTGATATGTGGATATTCTGATTTTCTTCTAAATTTCTTAATTTTCTGTGTAGCGTATTATTATTGTAATCTTTTAATAAATTATTTTCTTTTATAAGTTTAATATTATCTGTTTCTAATCTACTAATAACATCTCCTAAATAAGATTTATAATCTATATCTGAAGGTTCTTTAAACTTTAATTCTAATTTTATAATATTTCTAAATTCATTTTTTTCGACAAACATAAATTTTAAGTCGACAAAATATGCAAATAATAAATTATTTTGTATTTTATGAAATAATTTTATAACAATTTCTATAAATTTGTGATAATCAACAATTAAATCTTGTTCTCTTTTAAGAATATAAAAATCATCTGATGAAATTGTACATATGTAGAATGAGAATACATCAGTACTATTTATAAGCTTTATTGTGAGGGTATCCAGTTCTTGAAGTACATCACACTTCATTTTTGTAGGAATTTGTTCATCATATGAATATATTTGGATTTTACCTGTAAATAAAATTTCTTTCATGCAGGGTTGTAAAATTTAAATTTTAAAATAAACTAATCTACAAAATTTTGTAAATTGTGTTAAATTATACTGTCCTATATTTAAGTAGATAAAATATCTTAAATTGCTAAGACAAAGTTTATTTACCAAGAACTTTAATTATCATAAGAATTAATTATTTAAAATATTTTATTATTTGGACCCCATGCCCGCTTTGAAGAAGTAGATAAAAGTGATATTGACATTATTAACGTTTTTATTTTTATAAAGTAGAATATTGCATTTTGCTTACTTATTACTTTTAAAATTAAAAACAACACTTTTTAATTTTGTAAATCTCTGCAGTAAAATTATGGCATTAAAAATGTTTACAAATTTAGCTTTTCTTAGCAATCATAAGATTATGATCTACTAAAAAAATAGAAAATTATGTTTTTTTAAATAAACTAAATATTGCAAAATAATAAAATTTTAATTATTTAATTACATGAATGTTTATTTTTTGTAAAACGAAAATAATTGAATCTTTGCAATTCAAAATAAAATGCATTTTGTAAATAAAGTTGTAACTTTGTAATTAAAGAATTATACTAATATCTTTTCGTGCAAAGATTTACCAAAAACTAATTTTAATAATTAAAGTAAGATAAATCTAATAAATTTAATAATTGCAATAACCTTTTTTATGACAAATTATTTATATTTTTTAACTTTTAACTAAGGTTCAACATTTTTAGTAGTCAGAAAAAAACTATTGATTTTTTATAAAATTTAAGTAAAAAACAATAGCAATTTAAAAAGTAATGCGTACAAAAATGAATTAAAAAGTGTTAAAGTGCTTTTAGGAAGGTGTCTGTTGGTATAAAACATGGGTTTATTTAATAATTATTATTTATATAACAGATATGTCAAAGCCATCAACCCAATACTGCTAATTGACATGTCTACATCTTTACTGTCCTACAGTGTCACTTCCAAAAAATAATAATAGTACATTTTATAAACAATCTATCAAATTTAATAAAAAACCAATACATTTTATATATGTAACTTATCAATTGTATTAATTTTCTGAACACTTACAAACAATAAATAATATTTTTATTTTTTAAAAAATCTACTAAAATTTTTACTGAAGAATTAAACTCTCCATTATTATCAACAATAAAATCAAAAGGTATAATTTTTTTTAATTCTTCATATTTAGAATATTTATCCATTCTATTTCGTAATTCTTGTTCATCTGTTCCTCTACTAACTAATCTATCAACTAGTATTTGTATATCAACATCAATATAAATAAGAATACAATCTTTTTTGTTATAATGAAAATAAGTAACACCTTCATATTCTAAATCTAATATTAAGTTTTCTATATCATTCTTGGGTGTACCATAAAAATTACCGTTAAAATATGTATATTCTTCTAATTCATTATTGTCAATTTTATTACTAAATTCTTGTTTAGAAATAAAAAAATAATCAATGCCATCTACTTCCCCTTCTCTTTTCTGCCTAGTAGTATACGATACACTTAATAAAAGATTGTAATTCTTTACAAGATACCTAATAATAGAAGTTTTTCCCGATCCACTTGGACCTGTGAATATTACGTACATAACCCTGGGGTGGACAAATTTGTTTACAAAAAACAAACTAATTTCCTTTTATGCAAAAAAAGTATTTAAGAGTTTACAAATAGCGTAAATTGCATAAATTACCAATAAAAAAAGAATAAACTTATTATTTTTATACAAGCCCTCAAAATTTACATGAAACTTATCCTGACACGAATACAATCAAAACAGAAAGGCTGGTTTTCTTGGCTATTCACAAAGAACTTTAATCTTAAAATTAATAATGAAACTTTCTTACTAAAAACAGGAAATATATATTTGGGTTATATTATTGAAATTTTTAGCTTGGATGTAAATTTAAAAATTGATATTGATAATATAATGTATGATTATAGTAAGACTTTTACAGTAGGAGAATCTTATTTAGAAGTTGACAATCCATGCTTTAAAGGAGTTTTGTTTTTTACTGCTATTAATGGAAACTTTCTGACATTTTTAGAAAACCAAAAGGCAAAATGCAACACTACAAAATTAAGCAGATTGTTACAAAATTGTACAGATATTCATGTAATGAGACTAAGTTATGAAAAAATAGAATACCATGTAAATAAAGAAAATTACACAACATCTTTACAAAATGCAATTACAACATCAAGTCTACCACTGGGATGGGAAACTGCTGTGTATAAAAAGAGGATTCTATATGTAAATCACAATATAAAATTATGTTACTGGAAATCGCCAGGATTTATTTATAATGTACTTAGAGAAAAGATAGATCATTTTGAAAATAATTTACTAAATTTAACCTTTTTATCTTTAAGAACACTTACTTCTATTAAATTAGAAGTTAGAAGAGGTCATATTTTAGATTCTACAGTAATTTATATACTTCAACATGTTGATAAATTAAAGACAAAAAAACTACATGCATCATTTATAGATGAAATTGGGCAAGATTATGGTGCTTTGATGAGAGAATTTATTTATGAAACAAGTTTAGAAATCCTTAATGATCCTAGATTGGAAGTTTGTAATGATTTTGTAGATGTTAAGCCAAATGATTTTTGTAATCAAAATTTACTTTCAGAGACAGTTAAAGAAATAGCAAATCGACATGAACAAATTTGTGAGTTTACAGATGATTTTAAAGGCAAAAATAGATTGACTGATGAAGCTTTCTATATTTATTTGGGGGTTTTTATTGCTTTATTACTTATTTGTAATGAAAATATTGACTACACATTTTCATTAGCTTTTTATGAAAATTTACTATTAAGAAGATATACAATGCGGTTAATACAAGATGTACAGTATCAAAAATCTCTCAATTGGATGTGTCAAAACGAAGTCACAGAAGATATATTACCAGGAGTCACATCTACTAACAAATCAGATTTAATATATTCAATATTTTATGATAAACTTTTCCTACAAAAGAAAGTACCTTACGATTTTATAAGTAAAGGGTTTTACTCAGTAATTCCAGAAGATTTTAGAGATATGTTTGAATCTGATGAACTTTCTATGTTAATAAGTAATAACAAATATCTCGAAGTTAGTCATCTAAAAGAATTTGTACTATATAATCTTTGTTCTGAAAGTACAGAAGAAATAATTTGGTTATGGGAGATATTAAAATCTAAAGATCAAATATTTTTAAGAAAATTCTTAAAATTTATAACAGGATCTGGTAGTATTCCTATGTTAATCAATAATTCTAGTTTTAAAATAGTAATAGAACAAAACAATCTTAAAGATTCCTTATTAAGAGCGAGTGCATGTCTAAACAAATTGGTTTTAAGCAAATATTCAAATAAGCAAACATTGGAAGAAATATTAGATTTTAGTATCTTAAACACAGAAGGATTTCATAAAGTCTAATAAATGTTTAATAAAAAATTATTTTCTTCGATTTTTTAAACAATTTGTGCACAAATTTTGTTGCTTCTCTAGCACTAAAAAAATATACAAAATATTATTGTAAAGCTTTTATTCATAAAGATAGCCTATGCCACACAAACTACAGACATCTCCGGTACTATTTTTTACATAACAAAACTTACATTCTTTATAGAAAGAACAAAAATTTTTTAGATCAAAACAAAAATCGCCATTAGGAATTTCATATTTGTCATGTGGATCTTCCAACTGTAAAGCTTTTTTTATATTTTTACTATCACTAGATTCGCAGACTTTTTGCGCTACAATTTGAGCTTGTAAGTAATTTCCATTTTTTAAACATACATTAACCAGCTCTTTTTTGGCTAATTGTACATGTTCAGGTTTTAAATTTAGTGTAGAAAAGTATAAAGCATACCAAATTTGTTTTTGTTCATTTTCTTCTCTCTTTCGTAATAAAGTTATTGTAAGTCCTGCAATGTACGCACCTAAAGATTTTCTCAATTCAATATTATCATTTTGAACAAAATTTTCAGCTATTGTGTAAAGACAGTCTTTAAACTTTTCTAAAGCTTGAATAAATTTTTTTTTAGTTACAAATTCCAAACCTTCTTCATAAGTTGAAAAGACATCAACTTTTTTGTATTTAATTTTGCTTAGTAAACTTTTTGAAATAAATTTATCAGAAATTTCTAATTTTTCTAATGATTCTTGTAAAGAAATATTTGACGTTTTCTTGTCTGGATAGTTGAAATATTTTTTGTCTTCTAAATATAATTTTATAAATTTTGCTGTATACTCATCACATATTTTCACCAGTGACGCCATTTTATCCAAATTATTAGTACACACATACAATAAAAATAATTTATACCACTCAAATAGTTTTAAAAAACACTTTTCAGATATTTCAAAATTCATGTTTTCAAGTGCAACATCGCTTAATCTTTGATACATAGATAAATCATTTTCTTCCTGACAATATTGTAAACACTCATCTAAATTTCCAGTACTAAGACATAACTCAAATCTCTGTCTTTTATTTTTTACATAAGGCAGTGCAATATCGCCTTTTTGTTTTTTTATCAAAAACGAAAGGGGCGAAAGACCAGGTAAAGAACCAGATTCGATGATATTATGTAGATTATCTAAATCATTATTAATAACTAATTTTTTAAACATTATTTCTGTAAAATCTACTTCTATACTTTCAATACATTCACCTGAAAAAAAATAAATTAAATTGTCTTTGTACATAAATGGATACATAGCACTATCCACACTAATAATTACGCCTTGCTCAGAAAATATGTATTTTAAATGCTTAGTAGTTGTGTATACAAAACAATCTTCATAAAAAAATCCGCTTCTAATATTAACTATTTCGTTTTCGAAATTTACTAAATTCGAGTGTTTGTCGTAAATTGAAACTTTGTTTTTTGATATAAAAGCGTAAAAATCTTTTGAATCAGAAATGTATATTTTTTCGCATAAAAATCCTAGATTTATTGTCTCCAAATATCCATCTTTTAAATATTTAGCTAACATATTATTTTTTGATATGAAAAAAGAATCTTCATTTCCAAATAACAAATGTCCATCTAATACATCAAATGTTGTAATAATCTGATTATCTACATCTTTTATAATCACATTATTATCTTTTTTTACCGCCATTAAAATTTCATTATGATATAATAAAACACCATATCCTTCATGTTTAAATATTTTTTTGTTCTGTTCAAAAACTTCAAATTTATTTTTATATTGAATTAGTAAATATTTATCAATGGAATGTATAGAAATAATATTGCCCTCGGCTTTACATACTTTTCTTTCTAAATTAAGATCTGAAAAATAAAAATAAGAATTTTTACAGTAATAACATCCTTTACTACTTTTAGCTAATAATTTAGGTTCTGAATATTCTAATAATTCGAATCCATCGTCATGTCCACACACAAAAAATCCATTTCTGCCTGAAATGGCCCAAAATCTGCCTTCTATAAAATATTTCTGCGATTTTTTACCTTTTAAATCAAAAACACAAAAAAAGCCATCTTCGCCAACACTCACAATATAATTTTGATAAAGAATGGCACCTGTAACACAACCTTGGTGTGCCATAATACTTTCTCGTTCCAATAATTCAGTTCTATATTCCCAAATTTTCACTTCTTTATCATCACCACCTGATATTATTAGTGTTTCATTATCATTATAAACTATTTCTATAAAATTAATACCTCTATCGTGTCCTTGTACAATTTGCTTTACAAATATGTCTGGTATAAATTTATTATTTTTACCTAGTAAATTTTTACAATCCCAAATTCTAATTGAATTGTCCAGTGATCCACTAATAATTGTTGTTTCATCTAAAAATTTTGCAGCCATAACATAATGTGAATGTCCAGTAGCTGTTGCCAAACATTTACCTGTCATAAAATTCCATAATTTAATTGTTTGATCATCTGAAGAAGTTATAATCCACGGCTTTGTAGGATGAAAATCTACACTTCTTATAAAATCAGAATGTCCTTTAAAGCTTTTAAGTAATTTTCTATTGGTATAATCCCACATTCTTATAAGTTTATCATCTCCACAACTTACAAAGAAATCTCCATGTGGATGAAAACGAATAGATCTTATTGATCCTTTTTCTACAGCAGATGAGTCTATAAATTCATAAATACAAGCATTAGAATTATAATCCCAGGCTTGTATTTTACCATCATGTAGTCCAATAATAAAAATAGGTTTCACTGGATGAAAATCTACTGATTTAACACGTGTTGTTTTTTGACTAAAAAGTTTACTAATATTTTTAGTTATCATTGTAACCCTTGTTTATGCAGAAATTTTTTATAAAAAAATAAAAATAAATAAGGTTGTAAATTTATCCTTTAATTTTATAAAGTAATTTAAAACTTTAAACACCAGTACAATAAAGTATTAAACAAGATTGTACGATCTTGAGAAATAATGATGTGTTTAAACATTTTTATGTTATAGCCATAAAATTAAATAATTTAGATATCACAGATAAATGTTTAAATGTAAATGACTATTTAAAATATTTAAAAAAAAATAATTTGTTTTAATATGATTTATCATTTGTTATTAGTTTTATTTCAAATGATCTAAATTTCTACAAACTTATAAGATTAAAGAGAATATTACTAAATAAACATTTTTATAAAATAATAGTTATAATAAAACATGACATACATTTATTTATATTGCGAGGAACAATAATATTTTATTTTATAAATTTTTAATAATTTTCTTACCCGTGCAGGAAGAAAGCAAATCAAATAAAAGTATAATTGATATATAATATTATTTAAGTGTTGTACGTCAAATTAATCATAAGGAATGAATATTGATTTAACGTACAACACTTTAAAAATACTATAAATTATAACAGTAATAATTGTATTACTAAATTTATTAAAAATTTATAGGTTTTTAAAGTAATATTTATTTAACAAATAGTTTTAATAATTTGTTTTTTTACCTAATTTATAAAAATATAAATAAAAATTTGCCCTTTTTAAAATGCATGATTATGAAGAAGAAAATTCAGATGAAAAGACAAAAATCATTTCACCAGATAAATTATCAAAACCTCTTAATCCCTTTGATATTCCAGTTAGACATAAAATAGCTCTTCCGAAGCATTACAAATCAAGTATAACGGAATATAGGAGTGCACTTGATATTGATCCAAAGCAAGGTTTATTTTTTTATCTAAAAATTCCTTCTCTTATTTTTTCGGCTGTACTTTCAGGATACCTTTTAGGAAAGTTTAACTTTAGTTTTATTTACATTTTGTTCGTAGGCTACACTGTTTATTTTATTTATAAAAGAAAAATTAATAAATTTACAAACAGTTTAAAATCACTAATTAATGACAGTACTAGAAGAGAAAAATCAAGATATACCGGTGAGACAGTTGAGTGGATGAATTATATTTTAAGTAAATTTTGGAAAGTAGCTGAGCCTGTCATATCTTCAGATATTTATCAAAATGTAAATAGAGAACTTTTAAAAGTGTGTCCACCATTTTTAAATAATTTAAAGTTAACAGAATTTACTTTAGGGAGTAGAGCACCTATAATTGAACAAGTAACATATCATTCTAGTAAAGATGATGGTGTTACACTGGATGTTTCGGTTTCTTTTGTACCATTGGAAGCCAGTAAAGATGCAGTGGAATATTTTCTAGGAGAAGATAAACAGTGGAATTCCAAAATAATTTTAAAGGCAAGATTTGGTACTAGAAATAATATAGGGATTAATTTACCTATTTTAGTTAAAGAAGTAGGATTTAAAGGTAGAGTTAGAGCTACAATAAATTTAATACCTAAAAATAATTTTATAAAGGATGTAGAAGTTTGTTTGATGGAGATACCACAGTTTGATTTTACTTTAGTTCCTCTGAAAACTGTAGATATAATGGATATTCCAGGATTAAGTACATGGATTAAAAAAACTATTGTAAATGAAATGTCTAAAATTGTAATAAATCCCAATTCTATAACAATTGATATTGATAAAATAGCACAATCTACAGGATATGATATAGGTGTAGCATGTATACAGATATTATCTCTAGAGAATGAAGAAGATGAAAAATTTACTGGAGAAATAGATTTGGATGGAGTGCCTTTATTCCAGACATCATCTAAAACAGGTCATAATTTAGTATTTAATGAATATTTTTATACTATAATTCAGAATGTAGATGAAAAGATTGGTATTAGTTTCTTTGGGGATTCTAGAGCATCAGGTTCTTTATTCTTAAGGAATGTACATACTGAAGAACCACAAGAAGATGTAGAAACTGTTATTAAATTAGAAAAGGCCATAGTTAAAAATACACCAAAAACAAAGATTAAATCCAGAAGATGTATTTTTGATAAAATAAGACTTATTAGAGATGAACAAACGTATGCATATCTTAATACTAATCTTGTATTTTATCCTATTTCTAAACATTTAAAAAAGACGAATAGTGCCATTGTTACATTAAAACTTATAGGCATAGAAAACATGCTGGGATTGAATGATGAAAAAAGTGAAATTTATTCAAGTTATTGCACTGTAATAATATCTCCATTACATAGAGATCAAGGATCTATACCATTAGATTATATAAAAAATACATCGAGTGCGGCAGCACTTGTAGTATCAGGAGTATTAAAAGCTGAAGAGGAAGAAATTAATAATATATCAACAGGTAATGAATCTACATCTACTAGGCTTCTTCCTCCTTCTGGAAGTACTTTTTATATTTTTGAATCAAAAAGAGTTTTTAATAATAACTCTCCTAATTACAATGAGACTTTTAAATTCTTTTCTAGAGATTTATCAGTTGATGTAGTATCAATTTGTATTATAAATGATCGTAATTCTGAGATAATTGGAAGAATAGGACTGGGATTGAAGGATGTTATAGAAGGAAAACCAATAAAATATAAATTAAAAGATGCTAGATGTGGAAAACTTGAAACACAAATTAATTTTCAATATGTGGATTTAGAAGATAAAATTGAAGAAATAGTAAAATATACATCTATACAGAAAATAACAGTTGAAACAGTAAGCGAAAAAGGTATTTTTTATGGTGTTGTAGAAACCAATTCTGATATTTTTACTATGGATCCATTCACCTCTTCACTGCCGATACGAAAGAGTATTTTTGTACCTGTTCATGATGATGACAAATGTATATTTAGACTTTATAAGGAAACAAGTAACGGAGACGTATTTCTAGGTGAGGAAAATTTGAAAATTAATTATACAGAAGAATCTACTAGAACAGCTTTAATTTTACAAGATGATATTTCTGTTACTTTAAGAATTGAAGGAGAATTTTTAGAAGATTACAAAGGAAGTAAGTCTATGAAAGATAACTTAAAACTATTACAAATAAAGTTAGGTACATTTTATGGATTAAATGAAGAAGTTTTTGTAGAATTTAGAAATAGAGATGGAATAGTAAAAGCTTCTTCTTTCAGTAAGAATCAACAAATTAATAACATATTTACAATTTTAACAGGAAATGAAGATTTGTACGCACTTATAAAAAATGCAGATCAGGGAGAAAATCGTGTTTTAGGACGATTTACTGTTCCATATAGATTTGCAGACGAAAAAATGGTCCTTAATGAATATGGTCTTGAAGTTGATATAAAAGTTGAGATACAAACCTGTAAATATACACCACCTTCAAATCTAAAAAAAGGATTTTTAGAAATTTATATAAAATCAGCAAAAGATTTAAAATCATCAGAACGTGGAATAGTGAATGCATATGTTAAAATTTTAGTAAATGATAATAACGTATTTAAAACTAAACCGTCTATTGAAAGTAATAATCCAACATTTTATGAATCATTTGTAATGCCTGTTGATAAAATCCGTGATGTATTTACAATACAAGTGTATGATCAATATTCAAGCTCTAAAAATGCCCTTTTATCATTTGTTGAATTTCCATTGCATAATATTAATGAAGGATTTAGTGAAGTAGATTTTAAGTTAATTGATTCTAAGAGTTTTAAACACAATAAATCTACTATAAGGATAGGATTTAATTTTTGTAGGGACACCAGTACATTAAAAATAAAAAAGAAAGGAATTTTAGGCAATTTTTTCGGATTTTGATAATTAAAAACTTTATTTACAGATTTAATATAATAAAAAATTAGTAATTAAATTAAAAATAACTTAATACAATGTTACAATAAAGTCATTTTGAAGTAAGTGTTGTAGCAAATATATAAAATTTAACATATTTTGTCATAGATATTTTAAAAAAACTTCAAAAATAATAGTTTATTTTTTTTCTGTCTTTTAAATAATAAATCAAGTTTCAGATCTAAACATTTGTAAGCTTAACAACACATAAACAGTATGTAAAAGCAAATAAATTTAATATTGAAATTTTAAAAACTAAGATTTTTATTCACCGTCCTGCATACTTTTCGTATACAAAGTACCCGCCTAGAACATCAATGAATGAAAAACCTATATCAAAATTTAGTTGGTGTATGCGCTTCTCACACAAAAGTTTTTGAACATTTTCGTCAAATAAATTTTTAAATCTATCAAATATTTCAGAAAACTTAGATGTATTAAATTCGGTGAGCACGTCTCTGCCAAAAAGCAACATTATAAAAAATTTACCTTCATCATTTGAAAAAACACCAAAATCATACATATCACTTGTAATCCCTTGTCCACTTTCAGTAATGGGACTTTTTTCGAGACATTCTTTAAATAATTCACTAAATTTAAATCTTTGTTGCACTTTTTTTCCTTGTTTATTAAGAAAATAAAAATAATTTGATTCATTAGTTTTCGCAGCTTCTTTAAAAATAAGTGATGCGTAATAAAGCAATCTTAGGATATTTTCATCTTGACAATCCTCGTTTTTTTCCTTTAATGCAGCATAAATATCACACCACTTATAGTTTTCAATGGTTTCAGAGTTCATTGTTAAGACTTCAGAGGGCGAGAATTTTGGTTTTACTTGTGTCTGTGGTTGTCGCTGTGGTTGTGGTTGCCGCTGTGGTTGTCTTTCTTTATAAATATACATAACGATTAATAAAAATAGAATTATACCCAGTAGAATGCATACATAACCAAAGCGATTCATTGTCAATAAAGGGTTTTTAAAAATTGGTTAATTAAAGGATAAACTTTTAATTTACTATAAAGATTTAGGAGATTTTCTATTTCTTTAATTTAAAATTATACTTAGCATAAATGCTCACGATAAAATAAAGAATCAGTCTGTTTTTTTACTAAAAATATGATATCAGCATTTATTTAACAAATTATTTAAAACAGTTGTAAAGCATATCTAAAAAACTAAAATTGATAGTTGGTATAATAGACTTTACGCAAAAAAATTCAATGATTTTTAATTAATAAAATCTTGTTATACTTTGGAAAATTTAAGAAAAATAATTATTACGTTGCAATAGTCTTGTGTAACAAATGGTTATACACGAATGAACTAAAACTAGAGGGTGATACTGTAGTATATATACAGTCAAGAGACATCAAAATGGCCCAAGAAAGCCCAACTATGGCCAATCGTTAAAACATTAAAGCAGGCCTGGACTAAGAAATAAAACCGGGAAAAAAGACAACATTAAGATGGCAGACTTGGTTCTGGAGATCTATACAACAATATGAAAAAGCTAATGTAAAGGAAAAACTATAATCAAATAAAGCAATATTTAATGGGAAGAAGTAAATTTTAACTTTTTTTAAAATTTAGGGTTGTAAAAAAATTTAAAGAATAGGGTTGGTGCCAAAACCAGCTGAACCATGAAAAATACAAAAAAGTTTATTTAAAAAAACTTAAATTCCAGAATTGAAATTTTAAAAGAAAGGTAATAAAAAAAAATGAACAGTAACGGAGGAGAAAGGACATTGCGTAAAAAACGTGAGTTAAACAGTTTGTCTAAAAAAACGCATACTAAATAGACTTATTTATATCAGATCATTGACAATTGAAAGTAAAGTTTTATAAAATGTAATATACACCACATTTAATTTGTTTAGTATTAAAATAGATTTTCTAACATTTTTTTTATTATAAATAAAATTTCATAAAGAATGGTATGAATATTCATAGTAGCAAGAACGCTTATGCAGGGTCTACAAAGATAGCTTTTAGACTAAAAATAAAACCAATAAAGTAAAAAGGAGTTCTTTTATCGGTTCCATATTGGAACAATATTTTTGTTACCTCACTAGGGGTAATACTAAAAACAATTTTTTATTTTAAAATTATTCATTAATTCATATTTGATTTTTGAAGTATTTAATAGCTACAAATATTAATTTTATATTAAATTGTCTAAAAAATTGCATATTTTTATTCAATACTTGGTGTGCGCTTTTTTAACTTTTTAAACTTGCAATGCTCGTTTTGAAAAAGTTTTCTGGGTATTTTTGACACGCGTCTAGACTATTACTGTCCCATTCAACTTATATTACAATTTTAAATCATTTGAATTTTTAGGTTTTAGAATAAATAATTTGGCTTCGGCAAGCTCTCATAGATTTCTGTGGAATTTAAATCTGGGATTTAGAAGGCCATGCTGATAACATTCCATTATTTGCTGCAAACCACTGCTTTGTTATGTTTGCAGTATGTTTTAAATTGTTGTCCTGCTGAAAAAAGCACTCTGGAAGACCCATCATTTCTGCAAAAGCGTCTAAGTTATCGGTAAGAATGCTAATGTATTTGATTGAATTCATTTTTCCTTCAATGAATAATAGCTTTCCTACTCCATAGTATGAAAAACAGGTCCATACCATTATAGACTCCCTTAATATTTAACTGTTGGTCACACATTTTTTTATAATAATCCCATATTTGGTTTTTTTCCAAACTAAAATCTTACCATCAGAATAGAACGGGTTAAACGTACTCTCATCATTAAAAATTTTTTTCTTTCTAACTTCTTTTTGTGTGCTAGCTATTTTACTGCACAATCATTTCTACTTAAAATATGTCTTTTTTTGCAAAGAGGCTTCTTTATAGGTGCATGTGATAGATACCACTCTCATTAAGACAACACCTTGTTTGTCTTTATTAACACTAATATTATCTACAGTTTTCATTTTTCTACTAAGCTTTCTTAATAAAATTTTTGGATTTTTACTAACTTTTTTCAAATCCTACTTTTAATGACATCAGAGCATTTTTAAGGCCTTTCATTGCCTCCCGCATGCTTCATTATGCCTTTCTGTTTGTATTTTTTTAAGTTTTATTTATGGTTGATAGTTGATATTTAATTGGGATAAAATTTTCTTTTGGGACAAACCATTTTGAAAAGGCTCGAACTTTGCGCAACCTTAATTTTAGACAATTGCTTCATTGAGAGTATAACAAAAATTTGCTATAATATAAATTAAAGGGAATTTTTTTTATTTTTTGCGAAAAAAATATTCATTTTTTAGACAAAATTAATTAAAAAAAGTATTTGTAGATATTTAATACTTTGAAAATTACTTGTAATCAATAAAAAATCTTAATTCACGTCTTAAATTTAAGACATTACTCTTGTAAATTATAAAAACGAATGAAATATACAGCTATTGAGTATGGGTTTTTTAAGACAAACTGTGTATTTTAAAGTTCATTGCATAATTAGAAAATCCTAAGACACTTTACTGTTGGTTTTGATACGACAAATTTATGAAACAGAATTTTGCGGATCTATAGAAATATATAATAAAATTTTTTTTTAACAAATTTAAAAAAATTTAAGAATATTAATTTAGTTTTTGTGGTATCAACCTCGTGGCGTCTCAAAACCATTACTTTTTTAAATAATTTTTAACCCATATATGAGAGAATTTTTTTCGATTATTTAGAAAGATACATCCGTTCCAGTAGTAGATTTTTTATCTATAGTTCAAATAGAAAAGAACGTAATGGCAACGACTATTTGAGGTGTTCAAATTCGGGATGCGGTGCTTTACTTGTAACAAGGGGACCTCTTTTAAATAATTGAAACTCATATGCATTGTTATCATCTAACAACAATCATTAAGTTCCAAATGAAGGTTTTTATTAGATCAAGACTTTAGAACTCTCGTTTATTTTTGCAAATAAATTATATGATGCAGCATTAATATTGTGAATAGTTTTTATTCATATGATGAATTAATTACGAGATTTGCACCTTCCTATTCTTCACTTAAAACCAGTTTGTGTAGATGGAAGGGAGAAGTTGTACCTACTAGCGACTTTTATGCAATACAAAATTTTAATTTTAACGAGTTTATTTTACCAAACGGGCATAATACACTAATTTTAAGAGCTAGAAATACATAAAATAATAATTATGGGCGATCTAGATTTTATTGGCCGGTTTGCTGTTACAAGAAACTTTAAATTGGTTTTAGACGCTACTTTAAGTCTTCATCAAATAGTTTTTTTCAGCTTTATATAATTTATAGTGATTTTAATGGACAAAGCTTTCCACTGGTTTACATTTTATTATCTAGTAAAACAGAGGAAAAATATGTTAAAGCTTTTTCAAGTTTAAAAAACCAATTACATCGTTTTGGAATAATCTTAAATCCTGATAAAATTCAAATTGACTTTGAGATAGCAGCGTTTAATGCTATAAGAATTGTATTTCTAGATGCAAGTATATCTGGATGCTATTTTCATTTTGGACAGGCGATATGGAGAAGAATTGTAAGACTCGGACTTGTAACATTGTATAACAATGATATTTTATTTCGAAATTTTGTTGAAATGTTTTCAGGCATTACTTTAGTACCTGTAAACGATATTGATTCTGCTTGGGATATAGTTAAAAATTATTATAACGTAGAAAATGGATTGGTAGATCGTTTAATCAAGTATATTGAAGACAACTGGTTAAATAATAATAGATCTTTGTATAGAAGAGAAATACGGTCTCATTATGGAACGCTTAGAAGATGAACTAATAATTCCGCAGAAGGGTTTCATAGTAAACTTAATAAACTGATTAATAAAAATAACGCCGGTTTTCTAGAAGTATTTCACTATTTAAAAGAATGCTTAATACTGTCTAATATTGAATTCAGAAGATTGATTAATAGCGGAAAAAACAAGCCAAGAAAAAGAGTATATATAGAACAAGACAATGAAATATATAGGCTTTGGAATTCTTATAATAATAATTTAATAAGTTTAGAAGAGTTGTTGGTTTAGGAAGTTCGATTAAATTAAATATTTGATTTTATTTTTGTTTTTTGAGGGTTTAAAATTATATTAAAAAGCAGTGGTTTTGGTACATAACCCCTTTACTTCACATTTATAAAAAATTTTTTACCTGATTTATTACATTTAAAAATTGTGGTAACTAAATGTCACAAAGATAAAAATATAGGTTAAGATACCAGACCATTTTGATGTATATAAAAAACGTTAGAAAGCAGTACTTTGTGTTAAGAAAGAAAATCTAAGTAATTTGAAAAGTTCACAAAAAATTACAATAATGATTAAAAGATATATTTTACAAATCTTTACTCTAATAAATCTTTAATATTTTAAATCTTAATTTTATATGATAATTCTAGAACGTGAAACATTACAAAGATATTGGTTAAGCAATCATTTAATTTGTTAAAAATTTTGAGCAAAATTTCATTTTTTGCTTTAAATAAATTTTTTAATATTTGTATACTTTAATTAAAATTATTTTTGAAAATTTTATCTGTCAATTTTTTTCCTAATTTCTTTCTTAAGACAGATAAAATAGTATTTTAGCCATAAAGAAGAACAATCTTAAATTTAAACAACATTTTCAAAAAATTATGACGTTTAATATACGCATTAGTATTTTTGTATTTATCCTTTGTCTTTCAAATAAAGTAAACCTTTTTTTTTTATCAAAATTATATTTAAACATTTAATTTTGTTGACCCCTTTAAAATGTATTTTACAAAAATATTTTTATTTACACTAATAGTAAAAATTACTACTTCAAATTGCGATGTTGATGAAATGTTTACGAAAATCAAAATTATGGTAGAAAAATGGAGAGATGCAATACGAGAAGACGATTTTGAAGAAAAGCTTGATGATTTGGAAAACAAATACGAAAAAGAAAGTGTTTCTGATGACGATAAGGTATCAGATTTAAAATATTTAATTGGCCTGTTAAGGAACGAGTTGCAACATTTAACATTTACTTCTGAGTTATTTGATGATTTTAACTTCCAAGACATGTATAAATTGCAAAAAGAAGTAGTTAATGACATTAAAAAGCCAATTGAGAATCTTTCTAATCAAATGGGTATGATTTATTCTAGTTTTCAAAAAGATCTTGAGTTTTTTTCTAAAAATGCGACTAATTTATGCCCAATGAATCGTAAACATCTTAATGAACTTGTTGAATTGTTAAAACTTGTTCATGCGGCAATCGAAATATTTGGAACTGATTTTAAAAAAGCGTTTGAGCACTTATTAAATTAAACTGATTTAAAAATTGTTATCTTAGTAGTTGTCTATTAGTGTTATTTTTAAAACTTTACTATATGATTATTACCTTGAATTTATTTTTAATAAAAACCTATTTTGTTTTCTTTTATTAAATGTAAATATCCAATACAACGTATTGGATATTTAAGCTTAATTTTTTTATTGTAAAAAAATATCAGATTAATTTATTATTGCGATATTAAAAAATACTAAAAATATAGATAAATATTTGAAAACTGGACAATATTTGCTTTTATGATTTATTAAACATTTTAGTATTAGGTATAGCACATATATCATATTTTTAAGATTTTAAAAAACAATATTTAATTTCGTTGATAAATTAAAAATCATTTAGATTTTATGTCTTAAAATAGTGATTTGAGAAAAAATAAGTTACATAAAATAAGTTAGAAAATATATATTAAGAAATAAAAGAAACAATAAATGCATCACACATAGAGAAATTAAACAAACTTAAAAGTATTAATCGTTCATTAAAGATAAAAATATTTTAAAAGCAAATATTCAAACTGTAAAAAATAAATTAGTAATTGACCACATAATGGCTGATACGAATAAATAAATCGGCCCAGTGTAGCAATTTACTTCATACGTCTCCAGATATGCAGAAAATAAAACTTTTAACATGCAAAGTAGAAGGAAAGGCATGCTATACAAGATGTAAAATTATATATTAATCTAAGCAATTACTTAAATTTAATTTAAACAACTAGATATATTTAATGACTAAATTAAACAAATCTAATAACAAAGAAATAACTGACATTAAATACTTCTACGATCGAAGAGAAAAAAAAATAATTATTATATGTAATTTAACATTATAGCAGCGATGTATATGTTAATGTAAAGCTATGGGATGCAATAGCAAGAATAAATAAAAAACTTATATAAAAATCGGAAGTTGAACAAAGGCCTTCTACAAAAAATATTTGACAATTAATTACCAGTAAAAATTTGCCTTTTTTACATATGCCAAAGTCTAAAATATCACATGGTATTTATTTGGCTAATTAAAAGTTATTGTAAACAAAAATTATTTAAAAATTATTTTTTTAATTAGTTTATAATTCAACTAAAAATAGTATATAAAATCCTTAGCAATTTAAAGCATTAAGCTGTATTTTTTAATTTAAATCATTTAAACATCATGTAACGAAGAAAAACACACCATTTTTACATAATTAATTCCCTTAGTGCCATTTTATACACAGTAAATTTTTACTTTAATTATTGCCTTAAAACTGTTTATGCGTATTTTAAATCATTTTTTTAACTTTTTATAAAGAACTAGAAAAAAATTAATCTGGTGTTTTTCATTTGTCAAAACATTAACATTGATTTATAAAATTATTCAAATTAATATACTGACGTTATTGTGTCATTTACACATTCTTGAAATTAAGAAAGGCAATTTAAATATTTAAATACACATTTTGATTTATTCAATTATAAATTAAAAGTTTGACGTTAAACACAAAACCATCTTTTATTTAATTATTTCCAACAAGAAGAAATTGCACGTTTATGCAACTTTTGATTTTTATAAAAGACCTTTTTTACTAAGCCCTATGATTTTTTCTATCTTTTTTTTTAAAATTCTTTCACCTTCTAAAAATGATCAACAAAAACTAAAAACACTAAATAATCTGTACAAACTATTTCGTCTTGAAATTAATGTAGATTTAGGCTTGAGGTATATTGAGTCTTCTGATAAGTACGTCCCTAGAATATTTAAAATAATTGAGAAAATATCGGAAGAGATTGAAAAAAGTAGCAAAGACGGTATTATTTTAAAACTCAATATTTATAAAATAGCTTTAAAATCATTAGCTAAACTTTTTGATCAAAAAATGTCTATATGCGAATATTATTTCATAAAAATGGATGAAGAAAGACAATATGTGCCTGATGAAATACCAGATGTTTTATCTTTACTTTATGATCTATATCTTAAAATTTCAATGTCTAAAACCCTTTGTTCAGCATTTTGCAGCCTTTTAGATTTAAATCCACAAAAAGAAAAATTTAAAGATATTAAAAAAAGAATAAATTCTTTTTTGGAGAAATTACAGTTTAAAAACATTAAAGATATGTTAAAACAATAAAACAACTTTACTGTGATAAATATTTATTTTAAAATTGTTACTATTTATTATTTTTAATTAAAATAATTTAAAGATTTTTAAATAATTTAATGCATGTTTTAAAAATACAACTTACAGAAAATTACAATTAGTGTTTTTAAGTAATTAATAACCATTATAACAAATTTTATAATTTCATTTATTAAAATAAAGATTTTTGTAAACTAAATGTAAAATTGCATCGAATATTATAAATTTCTCTGTTCAGCATTTAGTTTACAAAATTTAGCTAACAATAAAAATAATTTAATTAAACATTTTGCTAGATTTAAAGCCAGGCTTAATTAAAATTAATCTTGTTTTAGATGAAAGCAGAACGCATAAGACAATTGACGCATTGCATATCTTCTACTAGATTATAATTATATTTTGGCAGAATTTATGTATGTTTTGTAAAAAAAATAGAAAACTGTGAATAAAAAGTGCAAACTAATATAAATTATCATTTATTTGTAATATATTTATTAATTAAATATGTTAAGATATATTAATTCCAATCAAGTCATTCATCATTTCTCCATTCATTTTTTTTCATTATCGTCTTAAACAAGCCTCTAAGATATTCGTAATTAGGCCAATCCTCATATCCTAAATTTCTTACATAAAAAACATACATATAAAATTCATGAGGCAGATCTGCACACAGTTCCCATATTTTTAATGTCTCTTTGCATTCTTTAATCTTGTCATATCTTTCTTGTTTATTTTCTGCCCTAAGTCCCTGCCATGGTAGCCTGCCTTTTAAAAAATATAAAAGACAGTACCCTAAACTTTCTAAATCATCCCTTCTACTTTGTTCATATCCTTGATGTGTACGTATACTAGCATATCGTGCAGTTCCAGTAAGTGATTTGTCATATCTTATCTCTCTATGTACATGTGTACGTGGATCCCTATATTCCTTAGCAAGACCAAAGTCTATTAAATATAAATTTTTTTCTTCAATATCAAATACAAAATTATCGGGTTTTATGTCTCTGTGAACAAAATGACTATTATGAACCATTTCTATGCTCTTCAACATTCTTATTGCCAATTTAACGACAGTTTTTAGTGCAAAACGTCTATTTGAATGTACAAAAAGCTCTTCTAATGACTTACCAAGTAACTCCATAACCAAACAGTTCATGTACACATCTTTTACTAAAATTTTACCATATGTAAAAATTTTAGGAATTGGAACAGGTTCATCGGGCAGTAAAAATTTATTTGAAAATTTAATAAGTCTTTTATAGACTTGATATTCATGTTTAATCTGTGTCATATTTCCTTTTTTCTCAACTTTTACTGCTACAAGAATCTTAAGATTTGTATCTTTGGCTAAATAAATTTCACCAAACGCGCCTGATGCTATTTTTTCCATAAGTTTAATATTCAATAGCTCAGAAGACATGAGGGATACAAAAATAAAAATTAGCAAAATTCTTTTTAAGAATCTTTTTTTGTAAAACTTAGTATCTTATAAAATTCAGTTATTGATTTACATTTTTCTAAATAATCTAAATAAACCTGTCTAAGACTTACAGACTTCTTTCTGGGTATCTTATCAAATAGCTTTCTTACTAAATATTTCATCCATAAAATGGTTGTTAAAGTATTGCTTTTACTCCAATCTTCATCTACAAGTCTATTCATTTTTTTATAAATTCCAAATTGTTCATCAACTTTCTCATCTCCGTCAAAAATCCAACTAATCTCATTTAAATTTTTAAAAATAATTTCTTCATTAAATGTAAGTCTACTGAGTGCGAAATCTATAATTTTTACATTTTTATCTAAAACAAGAATATTCCCCCAATGTAAATCTCTATGCTCAAGACTATATTTAAGTTCTAGATTTGATAATATGCTTGATATTTCTAATAAAATATTTTGTATCTCTTTAACAGTTTTAAATTTATAAAATTCTAAACAAACACCTCCTTCCTCAGTAACCAATACTCCGTACATTTGGTTTTCTTCATAAAAATCAGGTCTTGGATTCTCTACAAATCCATAGTCATCCCAGGCCTGTAAATAAGCCGGCGCGTATTTTCCTGAAATAATCAGAACGTCTTTTAATACTGGAATGCCCTTTTCTTTACTTAATATTTTTAGTATTCTGGCTTCACGTATAAAATCTTCTATTTTCGTATCGCAACATATTCCCATTGGTACAATTTTATAAATTAAATCATCAACTTTATAAACTTCACTAAAAGAAGCTTCTGCTACTTTTTTAACATTTTTTGGTAGATCATTAAAATCTAAAAATTTTATATCTAATTCTTCTTTGTAAACTTCAATGTATGATTGACTTGTAATATCTTGTCTCATGAATGATCTTTTTTTACAATTAGTCAAAACAGAAATGTTTGTAAATGAAACATCTTGTTTAACTTCTGAATTTTTATTTAAATCATTAGAAGTAGTGTTAGATTCAGATTTATTGTTAAAAATATTATTATTATTTTCTATTAAAATATTATCAGATTCATCATCTGAAAATATTGTCGTTGAAGTCAAATCTACATCAGGAACGTCAAAAAAAATATTTTTAATATCGATGTCCTTATCTTTAGCAAGACACCTCTTTTTAAGAGGAGTTCCTTCAAAAGAGTCACTTAGTTCCAAAAGGTCTTTATACATTAAATTATGGCCATATTCGACTAAAGCATTTTCATTAATAATATCAAAAGCGTAATTTATATTTTTTTTGTAAAAATTACACATTTTTTTGATTTCTTGTGACCAGCAACACGATTCTGGAATATGTCCTAAGGTATCCAAAACATTAGAGAGTATATAATTTAACTTTTTATCTTTCATATTCAAAAAAAGATTATTTACATAATTTAAAATATCATAAGTCTTTGGTTTAGTGATTTTTAATATTGGGCAGATGTATTCAAGATATTCTATAAAGCTTATAGTTGTACAAAGAAATTTTTTGAATGATCCATCATTTTTATAATTTATGCTTAAATCTTTCCTTTTTATATTTGTGTGATCAGAAATAATACAAAATATCTTACACATCACATCATTTATAAGATTAATATTGTAGTCAAGAACGGGGTAATGTATTATATTTTGAGAACTGTTTGCTACAAAACTATTATCTTGATCTGAAAATAATAATTTATTGTGTGAAATAAAGCTTCTATCTTTTGACATTGAATCTTTAAATAAGGGGATTTTAAAGACTTTTAAAACATTAATAAAAAATAAAAAAATATTTAAGCATTAGTGATGTGAAAGCTTTACATTATCCTTTCATTATAAAAATGTTTATTTTTTATTACTTGTAAATATGTTTTTTTATTAACTAATACTTTATCACATTAAAAAAATGAAAAAATAAATGCCGTCGAAAACTAATTATCCTTCAAATATTAATTTAGAATATTTATTATTAAACCTACGCGACAAGAAGGTAAAAGAACAAAAGTGTTATTGACAAATGATTCTTGCACACATTGTTTTTACATTTTAAAAAAGTTCAAAAATGTCCTGTAATACAAATCTAACATTTAATTAAACAGCATTTATTTTCTCATTAACTTCTCGACTTGATCTAAAAATTTTTTACTATTCAATATTTCTGTTCCTCCGTAAATAATAGGAATTCCTATTTTTTCTTCCAGATTTTTCAACGTTTTTAATTCTGAATAAGTGGCACCACCAACCATACAAACAACAATACTCGACACATTTTCTTTTCTAAATGTATCTACATTTAACGGATCAAACATTTTAAATACGTCTGATTTAGAATTATTCCATATATTTTCTACCAAATCAGACAATGGTGATTTTTCCTTAACAGGCAGAAATTTCTGAACATTTCCCATAATAGATGATACCATATTAAAAAATTTGCTTTTTTCTACTGTTGTTTTTGTTCTAAATTTTTTAAAAAATTCTGTTACATTAGTTTTGATATTTCTTTTTTTTAACATTGCTTCTGCTACATTTCCATCTTTAGTGTTAATAATACTAAGCGCCAATCTTAAAATATCTTGATCTGTTCCTTTTTCGGAAACTGTCATTAGTTCTTCATCTGAATATCCAGTCTTTTCAATTCGGTAAAATTCATCTATGTTCCTTTTTTTTATAATATCAACCATTTCAAGACATATTGTTATATGAGAATTTACAGATTCGTTTTTCTTAGCGAGTTCTGGCGTTTTATCTAGCAAATCTGTTATGGCCTTTTTATCACTCTTATTGTCAATACTTCGCAATGCCATTTCTTTTTTATACTCAAGAAGTGCCGCTTCTACTTTTTCTACTACCAATGGGAAGTATTCATTTCGATTATCTTTCCAAAGTGGATCACTGGGATCTAAATCATACGTTTTATTATTTATAACGATTTTATTATTTTCTAAAGCCAATAAATCGTCCATAAGTGCACTATAACTCCAAACGTGTTGTATGGGAGTAAATACATCATAGTCTCGATTTACCATTATTAATAGTGATCTTTTATGACTTTTGTTATCGAATAATTTATTATTAGCCATTTTATCTTTTATCATTTTACAAATAGTGTTAGTAGTTTCATCTGTACTAAATATATACGGTACACTATCTAATGTAACAAATATGCTTAACATAGAAGATACAATACTTTTCCAAATTTCTCTAGATTCTTTTAAATAGTAAGAATCAGGTATGTCAAGAGTATACAGATCATCTTGCAAGCTAATAAAATCGACATACTGGTCATAAACCTGAGTAATCTGGTTTGCTACACATTTCTTAGATAGTGTTAGTGCTAGGCTTTCAAGATCTTTACGTTGTATACTATTTACACAGTGTATATTATATTCAAAATATAACGAGTTTAGTACATCCTTTGATATTTCGGATATGTTAGATACAAAATACAAGGCAGGGGTATTAGCAATAGGTTGTCTGTAAGATGAAAAAAGAAAGTATGCTGTAATCCCACAATCACGCAATTCTTTACTTTTAAGTAGTGGAGAAATAATAGATTGCGTATGTTTATCTAATATTAATACTTTCCAAGGATAAGGATTTGAATTTAAAAACGATAGAATTCTTGATTTTTGTAAATTTCTTAACATTAAAGGGGTTGTAATTGAAAAACAATATCAATTTCGAGTTGTAGCCGACTTAGATTCAAAAAACAGTGTAAAAATATACATGTTTATTTTTTGAATATAAAATTTAATATTAAATTTGTAGACAACGTAAACACTTGAGAATATTAAAAATTTATACGTTTTTTTTGAAAGACAAAATTTTTAGATTTTTAACTTACTGGTTTAAAAAAATAAAAATGTACACTAAGATATATACTTTTTGCAATAATTAAACAAAAAATATTAATTCAAAAGCTCTGTTACTATACAAAAAGTTAATAATATTATTTTAACTTGTATGCTTTGGGTTTATTTAAATTTATAAAAAAAAATTTAACAAGTCAAATATTGATAATTTACACCCTTTAAAAAAAAAGTAAATGTAGCTCCTTCTTACCTAAAATGACTAAAACTCCTTTACACTATAAAACTTAGTTTTTGTAACAGTAGCCCATGAATATAAAAAATTGTTTATTAGTTTTACTATCATTTTTGATAATCGTTTTAGTAAACGAGCTATTCCAAGTACTTTTCTTAGCAAACCAGATCAACATGAACACAGATGACTTTCAACAAGTCAAGAAAGGAATGATAAAACGTACATTTTTAGTGATTTTTCAAATTTTTTGTTATCTTTGTGCTACACTGCTTGCGAGCTTAAAAGATTATCCGGTACTGAATCATCACGATTCAAATAGAATTATTTTTAATGATGCTCAAGCACACAACAATTTTAAGAATTCTTTTTTGATGTCAATTTTTTATTTAATAAGTCGCCTATGGAACACGTATGTAAATACAATAAAAAAATATAAAGGATTAGTAATACTTTATCTTGCAATACCAATATTTCTTGTACGCAAAGATAAACATAATGAATATTTTATTACATTTATTCCATTATTAATTTACATTTTATTACATTACATGTACAAAGCAACTAGAATTATTAAGATAATTATTATTTTATCTATAGTATTGTGTGCTAATTATTATGTCTTTTTTAAAAATAAAATAAAAGTAATCTCTTTACCAAATAAAGTAGTTCCTTTTGAAATAAAAAGTTTATTGGATAATATGGGGTTTAACACAGAATATTGTTATGTTAAATCAAAAGATTATAATGTAAGTGTAAAAAGAGTCTTTAGTAATGTTACTATAATTTTATGGGGTGATATTTTTGATATTTTATTTGCTGAGGAATTTACGTGCATTTTATATCATGAAATAGGACATGTTCTAAATAACGATCTACTGTTACAAAATATATTGTGGATTGTAATTGAGTTAATTGGTTTTATTGTGTTGTATTTAATTAATAAATCATACAATTTAACAAACAAAGTGCATAGTAAATCAAGGTTAGATAAATTAAACACTCTAATTTCTATAAATATTGTGCCAATTCTATTTTTTAGATTAATTAATTTTTCATTGTTCCATATTTTTAGTAATTATTGTGAACGTTGCGCAGATACATACGCGATTAGTAAATGTGATCCTAAAATATTTAAAAGTGCATTGATAAAGATTTATGAAATAAGTGCGGCTTCCTTTGATACATCTTGGGCTTACAATCTCCTTTTTAGAACTCATCCGACACTTGGGAGGAGATTAAATTATGTTGATAGACAACAAGCATAAACTCTAATACTAAAAATTTATTTTATAATTTTTTATTAACGATATTTTAAGTTAAAAATTTTATCAAATTTGTATAAACTTTAATAAAAATAATTTTTTTACAAACATATATATCTTAATATATCAACATAATATTGTAGTAAAGCATAAGTTAAAACTACTATATTAAAAATGTGTATTAACAATAAATTAGACAAATTTAATTTTAAGTTTTATAGTAAACATGTAAAAAAATTATCATAAAAGTTAGACAAAAAAATAAAATGGTTATAAATCTTCTAATAAAACTGCCAGAACCATTTTCATCATTAATTACATTTTTACTATTTTTCACTGATTTATAAATATCGCTCATTTTCCCTATGACATCGTCTATACGTTCGTCTTGTATATTTAATTGTTCTGATATATTTTCTTGTATACTTTCTATTTCTAGTAACCTTTGTCTTGTTACTCTGTATCTTTCTACAAGACTATTACCCATTATTTCTAGTCTTTCGACTTGAAGTTCTTCCTGAAGATTTGTATCGTATTTTTTACACGGTTTTGTTATTTTTTCAGGTTCCAATTCTAAATCCAGAGATGTTTTCTTCTGTTTAACTTTTTCTAATTTAATTTTTGTATCTATAAGCATTTCTTGTATAATCTTCTTTACACCTTCAAAATGTAGTATTTCATCTTTACTTCCATCTATTTCTACTAAATTTAGGGTCTGTGTCACTTTTTCAGACACTTTGTTTAAATTTTTTTCAATAATTAAAATATTTTTATAATTTAGTGTGTTAGTGATAATTCGACTAATTTTTAATATATCATCCCTCAATGTATCGTAAAAAAGTGTTTTGTATTTTGGGAGAGAATGCTGTTTAGTTTTTATAAAATTTACATAATCTTCCAACCTATTCATAAAGGGAGAAAAATTAAAAAAAGTAAACAAGAAATTTGAAACAGCGTTAAAATGCATTTTGTATTCATTCTTTAACCATTTTATACTTTTAGTTAATGTCCTCTCAAACAAAAGTAATAAATTTAAAAAAAATACTGAAAGTTATTGTAAATCAATTAAGAATTTTTTTATTTTGCAAATCATTTAAAATTTTTGTTACCTTTTCTTTATCGCAATTTTGTATTTTTTGTAAATCGTAATCGTAAACTTTTTCTATTCGTCGATGTTTAGATTTTCTACCTTCAATCTCTTTTATTTCTACAAGGTTAGTGTCCCAGCTTACACGCCTGGTTCTAACGATACTATGAAGATTATATTCTTTTAGTTCTTGTTCAGTATATTTACATTTTTCTAGAATTTCTTGAAGAGAAGAATGATCACCGTATTGTGTGTACATTTTTATATAATCTAAAAAAACATTCGTGTGCTTTACATTTTGATAATCGAGAATTTTTATGCTAAGAAAAGCCGACTTTTTGGTTTCAAAGTCATCAATCGAGTCAATCTCATAGATATCTTGTAGCTTCATATTGTGCGGGGTAAAGAATACAATAAAATTATCGTATTTTTATTTTCTAAAATAGATTATTGAAAATTGAGGTAAAACGAAAAAAAATTGTTTACTACTAATAAATGTAAATTAACTTTTTTGCTTTATTTAACAAAAATGTACGTTTTATAATATTTTGAAATTTTTAGTAGAATAAAAGAATTATTGTAAATTTATAAACAATAGGTAAAATAAAATTTATTTAATGAAGCTTCTTCTTTTTTGCATCAAGTACTCAAATCTCTAATTTCTCTCATTAATTAGTTTCCACCAGCTCAATATAAAAAATAAGCTAATACTATTTTTAATATATTTGTACATAGTCATATTTTTGTTTTACCCTTCTCTCTCTATGTTTCAAAATTATTTTATTAGGAATTCATTGGAAAATGTAGGCAGTTCATTCGTGTTTAGTACACTTACAAAGCTTACTTATAAGGTATTTCAAGAGTATCCAGATCTTTATACACTAAATGAGTGTGTTCTTAATGGTATTGATATGAGTAAATATACTTTAATACATTGTATTAATTCATATTTACTTGATCTTGTAGGAATGAGAGGATATCTTCTTAGAATGTGTAGTGTATTTATTAGTGGATTTTGTGTTGGAATGAGAAATGGCACACAATTTGCAGTTAACAATGGAATGATGGGATTATTTTTTTCTGTAGTAAAAGATTTTATCAAACCTTTTTAACTTACAAATCGTAATATTAAAATTTTAACGTTTTTTGTTTTGCATTTTTAAACCCTCTTAATGGAACAAGACTATGATGAAATTATTGCTAGCAGTACAAGTGACAAGTTTATTTATAACAACAAGTATGAATTAGATGAAATAAAGTCTTTTATAAACTATGCTTGTAATAAAAAACTGGATTATAAAACTTATAAACAAATATTTTTTAGTTTAATAGACATTAAAGAATACAGCATGTTACCACTAGTAATTTATGCTTTACTTCAATCAGATTACGATCTAGAGGACCTTATTGACATTTTTAGTAAATTGTCTATAAATATTATTAATAAGTTTAGAGGATCACCTTTACTAGTTAATATATTAAATATATTAGTTACAATATCAGATATATTATATTCTAAGGAATGGCTATATGAGTGTTCTACGATGTTGTACACGATTTCGTTATTTATTACTACTTGTAATGTACACAATGATATTTTATTTGATCGATATTATACAATTCTTTCTAATATTTTATTTATTTCGGGAAATTATTATTCTGCATTAAATGCATTAAGTTGGAAAGAGTCAATTAAGAATTTTGAAATGTACAAAGGTCTTTGTAGGTATAAAAACGAAGGGAATAAATATTCACAGTACTTATTAAAAATGAATTTACAAGATTTTGATGCAGGTTATAATATCTTTTACGATAAATTTTGGGATTTTTATATTAAAAATATAGGTAGTAAAATATCGTGTAACAAAGAAAATTTGAATTTTATAAGTTTTATGAGTAAAAATAATTTATCTTTTGTAAGAGAAAATAATGAAATTATTATAGGAGAATTTAAATATCAATCTGTTGATTCAAAAATATACGATATTGTAGATTTGTATAAAATTAGAAAAAAACAAAAAAATATAAAAATAGTAGAAAAAAATGAAATAAATGTAGAGAAACCAATTATTAAGAAGAAAGAAATTAAATTTACTGATAATTTTACTATTAGAAAAGCCAAATATAATATATATTGTGATATATTAAAAAAATGTTATAAAAATAAAGAAATGTACTATGAAATAAGAAACAACGCTCGAAAAATTAATCATGAAAAATACAATAAAGCACTAAAAGAAAAGCAAAGTTTATTTTTGAAATACAAAGATGATCTTGACAGCATGTTAGTAGAATTGAAATCTAAGAGGCAAGATAAAAAATACGAATTTGTGTCAAAGGTAGAAATATCAAAAAAGTCAAGTTGGAGAGACGATGAAGAAGGACCTGTTAATAATAACATTTATAGACCTTCTTTACATAAAAAAGAGGAAATTTTGACAGATAGGCATATCTACACTTACGGTGCCACAGTAAATTTTAATAACAATATTAATGAAAATAAAGATGATGGAATTTTTAGACCCAATTTAAATATTTACAAATCAAAAGCTAGTAATAAAAGCGATATTTTTGTTCCAAACATCAATAATATTAAAATTAATGAAAAAAATTTAGAAAATGCTGACTCTTTTAAAAAATTAAGTGAACAAGATGATGTTTATAAAGCTCCAGAACAGCCCTATTCTCCATCTACAAGTAGCAAAATAAATAAAAATAAAGGATGGTATGATGAATAAAAATACTTTATGCATGTTAATTTTTTATTTTTATAAAATGCACTATACGGGGATGAAACTATGTCTAACAATTCAACCAAATATTATATACCAACTTTACGATGAGCTTTCCTTGTTTATTTGTATTATGTGGTTTACAAAAAAATTAATTTAACACATTTAATGAGTAAATTTATCTGAAATTTTAATGAAATAAAATGTTTATTGCTAGCTATTTTTAACAACAAATGTATATCTTTTGTATGTTATTGCTTTTTAAGTATTTTTTTTTATTTTTCAAATGAATACCTTTATTGTAAAAATAAACCGTTTTATAAATTTAAAAAACGCACAAGTACAAAATTTACAGACTATTTTTAATCATGAATTAAAACATATTAAATATCCAAAATGAAAAAAGTTGCTTTTTCTAATTTTTCCTCCAAAAATTTTTGATTTTTTTCTTAATTTTTAAAAATTTTACCCCCTAAAAATGAGTTGTAGAAAATTTAATGCACCAAGACATGGTTCTTTAGCTTTCTGTCCTAGAAAAAGATCTAAGACAATCAGGCCACCAATAAGGGCATTTCCTAAAGATGATTGTAACGCACCAATACATCTTACTGGATTTATAGGATACAAGGCTGGTATGACTCACGTAATAAGAACAAGGACTGTACAGACTAAAAATAAACAGTCTGTTAAAGAAATTTTAGATGCTGTTACAATAATAGAAACACCTGCTAATGTTATTTATGGTGTTACTGGATATGAACAGACTGGTAAAGGTCTTAAAAGAATTGCTACTGTTTTCTCTTCTCACATCGATCAAGGCGTATTGAGGCGTAGATACGGATTGAAATGGGAAGAAATTTCTGCTAAGTTGAGTGATTGTTCAATTGAAGATAAAGAACAAAAAATTGCAGAGCTTAAAAAGCGTGCATGCATTATTAGAGTGTTAGTACATTCTCAGCCTACTAAGATTCCAGTTTTAAATCTTAAAAAGTCACATACGGCTGAAATACAAGTTAATGGAGGAAATGTAGAACAGAAAGTTGATTGGGCATTAGAGAATTTTGAAAAGGAAATTAATATTAGAGACATTTTTGATATTAATGAAAATTTAGATGTTATTGGTGTCACGAAGGGTAAAGGTTTTACTGGTGTAGTGAAAAGATTTGGTGTTACTAAACAACCAAGAAAATCACGTAAAGGTATTAGAAAGGTTGCTTGTATTGGTGCTTGGCATCCTTCAAGAGTAATGACAACTGTAGCAAGGGCAGGAGGAAAAGGATTCCATAGAAGGACAGAAATTAACAAGAAGGTTTATATGATTGGACACGGAAAAGAGAAAATTAAGACTGAATTTGATTTGACTGAAAAGTTAATTACACCAATGGGTGGATTTCCTCATTATGGTTCAATTAAAAATGATTTTATTATGTTAAAGGGTGCTATTATCGGGCCTTCAAAAAGAGTCGTTACTTTAAGAAAGTCTTTACTTAAAAATCATAGGAAATCGGAAGATTTAGTTATCAAATTTGTTGATACGTCATCTAAGATCGGAAGTGGAAGATTCCAGACTTCAGAAGAGAAGAGAGCCTTCTATGGTATTAGGAAATCAGAGGTTGTCGAATCGACAGATTAAATTATTTTAATTTTTCTTCTCTTTGATGTTTATTGTTCTCTTATGCTTGTAAATCACTGTATTGTTTTTTTTATAATTTTGTTAACAATGAAGAATAATTAATTTCTAAAATTTCTGTGCTAATCTTTTTATTATTGTCAATTTTCGTACTAATTTGTCTGTTTAAAATTTATATTTTTACCTTTATGGTTTATTTATAAAGAAGAAAATGTATTAAACAAAGCTTTTTCTTTTTTACTGTTCTTCTATTTTACGCCAAGGTATTCAAATCTCTCGGTTCTTTTGTTGACTTTCTTTCTATAAGCACAATGCCGCTATCTTCTTCTTTGTGTTTTTTTTGAATGATTTTATATATGTAATATTTTTGTAAATCATAAGATTATACAATGAAATTTTTTGAAAAGCTATTTTATGCAATTTAAAATCGCATTTTTAAAATAATTTATTGTAAGATTAAATTTGCTATTAAAGCAAAAGAGATACATTTTTTTATTCAGGATGGCATGATTGTTTATTTAAAATTTTTATGTAAAGTATTTTTTTAGTACACACGCCATTTTCTATCCATATCATTTTTTTAATTTTATTTATTAAATTTAATATAACTTAAACGAGAGGTGGCATATTGTTAATTGATAGTTTATGCCTTTAAAAGCCTGGCTATGACAAAAATTTTTGCTAAATAATTAATGTAAAGAGGTGTTACTGATTGCGGGGGTAGAGTGTTTAAATGTTGCTTATGTTAGAAGTTTTTAATTTACAAAACTAATATACATTTGACAAATAACTTTTAAAGTAAATATAATTTAGTTAATATAACATTCTTATACTTTGTCTATTTATTTTCTTCTTTTAGTCGTGTATTTTTAAAAAATCAGTTTCTTTCGTTTAAACCCTTAAAAATGGTTGCAATGTCTAAAATAGCAATTAAAGCGAAAATAAGAACCAGGCTTAATTGTATTGAACGAAATGTTGTTAAGCATTTAAGTGCTGAGAAAGTTAAACGAATAAAAGAGCATATTATCAAACAACTCAATTTAGAAGATTCTGAATCTTATTCTACTGGAATTGTAAAACCCACACTATACACAAAAGATTTTTTTAATAAATAAATGTTAAAATATTTTACCCTTCAATGCTTCATTATTCGTTAAAGTCTTTAGTTCCTACAACATCTCTTTCCAAAGGAATTTTTCAGTTAGAAAATGAATTATTTTTTGCAACAAATACATTTATTTTTAGAGTTAAAGAGGGTGAATACAAAATATGTGGTATCTTAGAAGGATATGTTAGACAATTTATATGTAAACAAAGTATACTTTATGTAATTACTGAAGACAGCCTAGTTTTAATTTACGATTGTAAAAATATTGCTTCCCTAAAATGTGTTCCTTACAGTTTACTCGTTTCTGAAAAATTTATTGTTCTGGGTACTGAATGTTTTTTAGAAGTTTGGTACACACCAAAAGAATATAAATTTGGAATGTTTGATTTACATTCGAAAGTTAAGGCTCACAATGACATAATTTCTTGTTTATTATTTCTTACTGATAAAATTGTTATTACTGGTAGCAGAGATTGTAGTATTAAAACATACAATTTACAGACTAAAGATGTTGATAGACTTATAAGTACAAAATCTATTCCTGTTAAAATTTGTCTAATAAAAGATTACATAGTTGTTATTTGTGAAGAAGGGCAAATATACTATGTAAACATTTTGACCAAAAAAATCGATCATAAAATTTTTAAAAATGCGACAATTAGTTGTGCGGATCAGTTTGAGAATCTAATTTGCATTTGTGTTTTCGAAAATGCGAAATCGACGATTGAAATCATTTCGGAACAAACAACAATTTATAGTTTTGATACTGTTAACATTATAACAGAAATTGGCTTATGTAGAAATAAGGTGGCAATTAAAGGACCGAATTTTGTAGGAATATTAAATTTTGAGATAGATACTTATATTTATTCATTAGATTTACCGCAAATATCTTGCTTTGATATCTATAATGAGTTATATTGTGTGGGGTGTACTGATAAAAAAATACGACTTTACGATGATAAGAAATGCATTAGGACATTATATGATGAGAAAAATACGCATCCGTTACTTGATGTATATTTTTTAAGTGGTTCGGTGTTATCTTTAGCAGTAAATGGATATATAAGTCTTTTTGATATAAAAAATAGCACTTGTTACAGATCTTTTAATATACCTGTAAAAATAAGTGCGTCCGCTATTTGTGATGACGGAATGCTTTTATTTTTAGCTGATTATGATTCTTACAAGATACGGGTTATAGATTTGCAAAGATCAAGGGAAATTGACAATCTTGAAGGACATGAAGCGCCAGTCAAAAATTTGTATTATGCTGATAATTATTTATTTTCTTTATCTACCGATAATGAATTGAATAAATGGGATGTTTACAAAACTGAATGTATTTCTACTAAGCTTGAAAAAACAGCGATAAATTTTATTGTTAAAAATCAAAAAATTTATATTGTACTTATAAATGAAATTATAATTTATAATTTTGATCTCGAGTTTTGCGATTCTATACTTTATAAATCTATAAAAGCTTTAGAAAATATAGATGTCAGTTTTGATCTAAAATACTTATTTTTAGCTGGTGAATCGAACAAGTTACAAATATTTGATATTAGTAATAATTCAATAGAACAAACCGTCAAAGTATCCAGGAATACAAGGTGGAAGAATTATAGAGAAATTTTATTTAAGAATCAGAAAGAATCGTGTGACAAATCTGAAAAAATTGAAGTACTAAAATTAATTCACAGTAAAAATCAATATAAGTTTACTTATCTAAGCAGAGAAGGTATTTTTACTTATGAAAAATCAACGAGCAAATATTTACCATTATGTCTGGATTTAGAAACTACTGTAGAGGCTATTACAAAATATTTAGAAAATAATAAGTTTTTAAATGCACTGATAGTAGCCTTGAAACTTAAAGAAACACAATACGTAAAGCAAATTCTCATTACTGTACCGGAAAACGAAATTGAATTTGTTGTAAAATTTTTACCATCTAATATGATTGAGGATTTCAGAATTTTCTTGATCTACCAAATAAATGACAATTTTAATCTTATAAGGAGTTATATCTGGATGCGAAATTTAATATATTACCACGGAAAAGGAAATTTCGAACAAAAAGTATGCAAAAACTTGGGCGAAGAGGCTTATAAAACTACATTAGAAAATACTTTTATTTTCGAAAATTTGATAGAATAAATAATTTTATTAAAAAATAGATTGAAATTTAGTATTAATTTCTACAAACCTTTCATACAAGTTTATATCAAAGTCATCAGGAATCTTACACACAACATGTTCAACTAAAATTCCATTTTCTACGATACCTCTTACTCTGACATTTTTTGTTTTATAACTGTCAAGTCCATTGTGTCTAATCATTATTTCATTTTTTCCACATTGTAGAAATACAATGTCATTATCAATTTTTTCTATTGTTCCGATTACAGAAACGTTTTTATTCTCTGAATTAGATAATGTGTTAACAAACATAAAGGGTATAAAAACATTTTAATATTATTTTAAATTATAAATATACAAAATAACTTATAATTATATGCAGTGTTTAGTTTAAAAGGAAACACTATCTTTATTTAAATATAAATTTTATAGTATATTTATTCCTTTTGCTTTTTAAAAATAAAAGCTTAATCAAAAAGATTAAGTCTAAAAAGTAAAATTTAATAAAAATAAAACGTTATTGTAAAAAAGGTATAGTTCTACTTTTACCATATTATGATCACATACCACCTTTTATACTGTATTTTGTTAAACAAAAGAAGGCTGAAATAAAAGTAAATACAGATAAAGCCTCTTGCAATAAATTAAAAATTTACTATTAACTTTCTAAATTGTAAAGATATTTATGTTTTACCAGTAGTTTCTATATTGCATCTATTTACTATTTCTATTGTACATATGTTTACATGCGAAATTAAATCTGCTTAACAAGCAAAGATTATTATTTCAAAAATTTAAAATATAAATTAAAAAATTCTAGCTTGGAAACAGCAAAAAAGAAAGCATCTTTTTCAAATCTAAAATGTTAGAATTATTATCTAAATAAGCGCTTATATACTCTTATTATTATTAGTTTATAGTTATTTCAAATAAATTATTTGTATAGCTCTTATTTTGGGCTAATTTTTTGTTCAAAAAGGCATTTCACGAATATTAGAAAACTAACAAAATTGTAATAATATTGTTTTGCTAGTCGAAGAAAAAAATCTAATATATAAGTAATAAATAAGCATTCATTATGCTGTTATAATCTTTGTGCAACAAATTTATTTTTCAGTTAAAAATGCATTTTCGAACCAAATTGTTTTTAATTAAAATCATTTTTTAATAAAACTTTTAATTAATATCAATAAATAAATTTATTTACAAATTAGTTGTAAGGATGCATTTTTTTATCAAATCTTGGCTGGTCATACACTGAATAGTGATTATCTTCATTATAATTCACAAAATTTAGTGGTTGTATTTTATTGGTTTCATATTTATACGGATCTGGTATTCTATTCAATATACTATTGTTGCTAGGATACAATTCAAAGTGTTCCATTGTCTTCATGTATTGAGACCTTTCAATATATTGAAAAGGAGGTGTTTCTTGAAAATGGCAAACAGATTGTTGCTGCTTCTTTACTTTAGCTCTTCTATTTTGAAACCATACCTGCACACTTCTAGGTGTCATCGAAAGCTGATCGGCCAATTTTTTGCGCATAGTTGAATCAGGTCTAGGGCAATTTTCAAATGTTTTTTCTAATACTTTTAATTGTGCTTTGGTAGTCCTTTTACGATGTTTTACATAAAATGGATCGTAATATTGATTGTCTCCTCCATTCTCTGATACCGGTGAATAGTTGCTAAAATAATTTCCTTTGAAGGGTTCCATACCCCTCAAGTCCCTAAATTAATTATATAATTATTTTTTAATTAAAAAAATAGTTCAAAAAAGTTTTAATTAAAAAGTGTTTGCTTTATAATGCTTTAATAAGTAAATTAAATTATATTGATGCTTCGTTAACGAAAAATACATCGGTAAAATGATTGTATCAAATTTATTAAAAATACGACAATTTGTTTTCTGCGTATTTTCACAAATTTGAATTACTTGGTGTATTTGACAATTAATTAATTTGTAGTGACGAACGTAATATCTCATTAAACTTTAATATACAAATCGAAATTAATAAGCAAAATAGACTAATAATTGGCATTTGAAAAATATCTAAATTAATCTTTTTGTATGTCAAACTAGTAAAAACTTTCAGTTAACATTTGATCTGAAGAAATCCACAGAATATAATAGATGCGCGCCAACTTTTATTCTAGCTTAAGCCAAGCATTAAATCAAGTCATTATTTTCTATAAATAATTAATTACTGATTAATTCATAATTAATAAAAAACAGATTTGACACTTCAAAGAGAATTTTAGAAAATAGTAGATTAAAAATTAATTTATCAATAATTAAATAGCTGGTAATACTTTACTTTATTAAGATTTTGTAAATCAAAGAAATTTTTATTAACTAATTCTTGCAGATACTGTATGATGTAGGCATTGCTATAACAATCAATAATTATATCTAAAATCAGGATTAATTAATAAAAAGTGTAATTAAAAAAACATTAGTTTAGAAAAATATAAGCATTTTTTTTGAACAAAATCGTAAAATTTTCTGTCTGTGTTTTTAAGTCTCATAAATATAAAAATAAAAAATACTTATATCTTCAATAAACAATTTTTATCATATTTTAAAACTCGAGAAACAATGTCGCAGTTTTTTAAATTTTATTGGCTCCAAATCTGTATAGAATAAAAAAAGCTAGTAGCAGAGCTACACATTAATTAGATAAAGTTGAAAATAAAATAATTTTTGACAGGAAAATTAAAAGTTTATTACTCATTTGTAATGAATTATTTCTTGTTCTTACTAGGTTAGTTTTTTATTTAAGATTATGCTTAAAATTAATGATTAATGTATTTATGTTTTTAATCAGAAAAGGTAATAAAATTTGTCAAAACGTATTTCTATGAGCCATATGAAAATATTAATTAAAGTATTTATCAAAAAAAATAATTTGAATATTTTAATCTTTAAGGTTGTCACTACCTTTATCTCCTAAAGGAAATGGTTTGGTTACAGAAGACTTAGATTTCTTATTTAACGTATTTATTTATTGAACATTTCTCATATACTTTTATTTTCACTCTGAAACAAGTAATATTTCAGAGTTCTGTTTCATATTATTGTTCACAATTTGAGTCCAATTATTGGGTTTTTAATTGTCACTAATGACAAAGATAAACGCACTTCTTGTTGCAGACAAGATTTCTTGCAATATTTTTATATAGCAAGGCGTTAATCAAACTATTGTCTATACTTTATAGAATTTATTTGCTTAAGTTTCAGCAAAATTAAAAGGAAAAAAACTATTTTAGTTTTATCTCTTAATAGATACATAAAATAAATGCAATGTTTCTCTATGTTTTCTAACGTTACAGAATAAAATGCATACGTTAACAAAAAGTACCCACTAATTCTTGCTGTACGGCATAAAAAAACTTTTGTTAAATTATAACATTAACTACATTAATGAACATTTTCGTACGTTTCATATATATTTTTTACAGAATGATGTTAAAGACCATTTGATTTAAATTGCTTAAAAACATTTGATTATAACAGAAAACTTTGCTTATAAATCATAAATCTTATAGACGTTTAATTATTTTACAAAGCATTTAAAAGCTTGCAGAACAGCTAAATGGTTGTAATTAATAAAAAAATAGATTAAATGTATTCAATGCAAAAAAAGTTTTTGGCAGAACTAAGAAATATGTACAATGTAATGTTTATTTACTTATATTTTAATTTTAAATTGTAATCTTTTATGTAATATTCTTTAAAAATAAAGCATATAATTGCAATTATTAAAATCAAAACAACCTCTAGCTTTAATAACTATTTTAAAAAATAAAAACTTATATATTAAAATTTCTAATTATTTACACCACAAAAGTTATAGTTTTATTTAACTGTCTCAAATCTTATTGTCAGTAATTAATTTAATAGTTGGCAAAAACTAAAACTCGTTTCATATTTTGAAACAGTTTTTTTGATTTTTATAAATTGAAAAAACTTCTATAACAAAAATGGCATATTTACTTGAAAGAGATAATAGTCCACGATGTACTTTAGAAGGTAGTAAAAAAGAACAATTCACACAGAAACACTTTACAGATCTAATACACGATTCTCACTCACGAAATAATGATTATTATATAGGACGAGTTCAAACATCTTTAACAGACAAAAATGAATTTTATTGTTACGATGCTCGACAACTTTGCAAATATCTTTTTGAAATGGTGATTTCAACTGAAGGAAGAAAAATTCGTATTAAAAATTTTAAAGATCCTATAAGTCAAGAAAATATTGATGAAATCCATTTTTTTAGATTGAAGTATGATTCTGATGAGCCTTTGCGAGCAGAATATGTAGGTAATCATAAGAACTTTCTTGAAAGTAATAGCTTACGTTCTAAAATTTTTTATTCAGAAGATGCACTTGATGCTTTATCTGTTAATTTTCAATTTAATAGTGTCAAAAAAACAAACTTAATTGAAAAGAAAAAGCTATATTCTTTTTTAATACTTCTATTTCTAGGTATTATTGTGTTCAGTAGTGTTGTTTTATTAATTGAAAAAAAGAAGTCAAGCAGAAAATTCAATGATCAGATTAAATTTAAATCTAAATAAATTTTTATTTAATAAGCCACAATGATTAATTTATTTTTCAAAAATTAACTAAACTAAATGCTAAGTTTAAACTTTGTTTTATCAGCAAATCTACATCCGTTTTTTCAAAATAAAGAAAAGATTTATAAATCTCTGAGATATTTAAGTACAGGTGGTAATATAAAATATTTAACATTTGACCCTCGGATGGCAGCATCTTTTTTAAATGTTATTTCTGTATCAAACAAGTCTACATTTTTCAGTACCACATTCATATAATCATCAATTTCGACAACCGTACCTTTGTAAGTAACATTATCTTTTGTTTTTACGGTAATAGTCATATTTACAGTTTCATAAAGGATTTGCATTAGTTTCATCTAGGGACTAAATTTATTTATTAAAACTAAAAGAGACTGCATACGTATTTAAAAAATAGAATCATTTGCAAACCACACGATTAAATTGCAAAAAGCATCTTTTCAAAACACATATATTCATTTTAACATATGATACTGTATCCATATTAAGATTTTTTAGATTTTTGTTTAAATTTTATACTTTGCAATTTAAGCAACTAGCAATTTTTTTTTAAATTTTGAGATATTAGACATAAATGATGATTTATATAACACAAAATGACAATTTATTCTTGTTTGATTGCAGTTTAATAAAAAGTCTTAAATATATTTAAAAATAACGCTCAGTATGTGTTGATTGCAACAAAACTATGTTTGAAAGTTTAATTTATATATGAAATTTTTAATAATATTATTGTAAAATATCAAATATTATGCTATAAATCATAAAAAATAATCTTAATTAAATAACAATATTGTTTATTTTTTTTCTTTATTAGACCAATCCATCGGACATATATCGCCATGTTTAGACACATGATCCATTGCGTCCAATAACCTCAAAATTTCATCAACATTTCTTCCTATTTTTTCATGATAGATAGAAATATTAAACACATTTCCAGAAACATCAATCATTACAGTAGCCCTTTTGGTGATATCTTCCTCATCATCATACAAACCAAACTGTCGACTTAAACGAGCATTCTTATCTGCCAACATTGGCCATTGTATTCCTTCTACGCCACCGTCCTGTCTTGGGAGTTTAGCCCATGCTTGATGATTGTATGCGGAATCTTTAGAAATTGTAAACACAACAACATTGCGTTTAATAAACTCTTCCTTCCTATCACTGACAACGTTTAATTCAGTTGGACACACAAAAGTAAAATCATTTGGATAAAATAAAAGTATAATATTCTTACCGAGATAATCTTTTAAATTGACAGTTGTAATTGATCCATCAATATAAGCTTTTAACTCTATATCTAAATTGACTTTAGGAAAATACATGGGGGGTAAAATTTAAAAATTTAGATATGTTTGTAAATTTTTTTGTGAAAAAATGTAGCTTAAAGGAATGTTAACAAACTTATACTTAGAAAATATACATACATTCAGAGAAAAACTTACTTCTAACATAGTTTATCTTTTTACAGTAAAATAAAAATTAGTTATTAGCATACATAACATCAAATGGATATATATTAAAATAAGACTTTAAATTTTCGATTTTTTTATTTATCATAGTAAAATAATAATGTAAATATTAAAGTTCTATTTTGTTTATGACAAAATGTAGTGTTAACTTCAATTAAATTATAAATTACCTTAACAATTTATTTTGTATATTAATACTATTTTTTTTATTTCTTGACAAATTATCATCACATATTAAAAAAAATAATAAGCATTTTAACAAATTTAGAAATAATTTATACATGAAACAGGTGTTCTAACAAAAAAAACCACTACTTGTATTGTTATTTAAATTTAAAAGCAATTTATTTTTAAAACAAATGATATTAAAAACAAATTAAATATAAATATTTCTAACAATGTTTTAGAATAACTTTAATATACCAAAAATAAATCGTTTATGATCTATTTAGTATACTTTTATATTTTTCTAAAATTTAATTCGAAATTGCCACATGTTTTAGCAGATACAAATTTAGTTAATGATAATTTAATATTTGAAGTTACAACAACTACTACTGTAATAACAACAAAAATAGAAGAGATTCCTTTTAAACCACAGAACAAAATACCGTTAAACACTTCTAGCCGCGATACAGCAGATTTTGAATGTAATCTAAACAGTACTGTAATGACTAACTTACTTAAAGACGTGCAAAAGAAGCCTCAATGTTATATTTTTAAAGATGATATTAATTCACAAAATTTTGTAAACGATCTTCGTGAAGCTGGTGTCGATATATCACAAGCGTATAATTCAAATTTTTTAGGCGGTAAATTTTGCACAGAAAACCAAGAACTAGTAGATAAACTTAGACAAACTTATAAACTTGAAGAAGATATAATGTTTAAAATCGCATCTACGCAATATCCTATATCTAAACATTTATTTTTGATGAAAAATTATACGAATCGTATTTTTAACAGCTATTTTTATAACAATTTAATTTTTAGTATTTTACAGATTGACAAACTTTTTAAATGTTTTTTGGGCTACTATAAATATTATTATACAGGACGTAATACAAAAATTTATGTTTTAGATACATCTGTGAACATAAAAACACCAAATATTTCTAATATAACTGGAACTAAAAGATCTTGCAATTCACATGGGGATATAAATGTAGATTTAATAGTAAGTAGAACGCGAGGATATGCAAGAGATGCACAAATTATAGTACTTGACGGTGTTGATTGTGAAGGAAATATTCATTTATCAGAAATTCTTGAGCTACTAGAAAATGTTAAAAAAGATATACATCCTACAGTTTTACTTTTTGGAGTTACAGGTCCTTATTCAGAAATATTAAATGGAGTGGTAGAGAATTTGGCTAGTTCTGGAATAATTGTTATTTCGCCTGCAGGTAATCAACATGATAATGCATGTTACTATTCACCAAGTTCTTCTAGAAAAATTTTAACAGTTGGATCTGTTGATCGTCACACTAAGATTTCTAAATTTTCAAATTATGGATCATGTGTAAGACTATATTCCTTGGGACAAGAAATATACGAAAGTAATAACACAAAAGGAACAAGTCATGCGGCTGCAACCATAGCAGGCGCAGTAGCTATGTATCTTGAAAAATATTCAAATGCGAACCTTCAAGAAATTTGGAGCTTTTTAGATAAGAATTCTTATTGGAATGGTACATATTCTACCTTTAAAGTTCCTTATTTGTCATTAGAATATAATCATAAAGATTTTGATTTTGTGGAAGATGATACAAATGGGTTTTATATTTGTATAATCTTATTAATCATTATTTTTTTACTGTTTATAGTTCTATGTTATTATATACATAAATACAGAAAAAGAAAAAAGAGAAGGGATTATGTGATTGATACTAATTTAAGAAATTTTTCCGAAAATTAATAAAAATTTTTATAAATTAGAAAATAAAAAAAGTACAAAATTCTATTTTATAATTTAAAAGATATGGAATTTTTGCTTATTTTGTTAAATTTTACAATTAATTTATTCCAATACAACTTTAATTCAAATTTTAAATTAAAAAATTTAAATCTAAAAATATTAAAATTTTTCTTTTTTATCTAAAATATGTTGTTTTAAATTAATTTGTATGGCAAAATCATAGCATTTTATAAAAATACAAAAACTAAACTATCTATACTAAAATTAATCTTACTGTATGCTAAATATATTAAAATTTGTAAACAAAATTTACAATTCAAATTATTTAAAATACTAAATTTAACCAAATTATTCTAAATACTAAATTTACAATTCAAATTATTTAAAATACTAAATTTAACCAAATTATTCTAAATACTAAATTTACAATTCAAATTATTCTAAATACTAAATTTCAAAAAAAATGCTAAAATAAACCAAACATCTATAATATATTTATTACAAAACATTAAATTTTTAACAAAGATAAGATAGAAAATCACAATAAGCTTAGTGTAAAAATTTGTTTTTATACAAAGATGCTTTTATGTTCAAGAGATAATCATTTACAAAATTGATAACAATAAGTAGACTAATATCGCCGTTTATAACATCTTTCCTAATTATTTCAAATATACCAAGCTGTTCTTCTATCGATTTTGTATTAAATCTTTTTCTAAACCATTGCATTAATATATTGAACCTCTCTGATTCTGCAGAAGACAACTTTGATTTGTAAAAATAATTTTTAATCGATAATATATTTGCCATTAAAATGAATAAAAAATCTTGTTGATAACTTCTTGATCGTTTAAAAAAACTTTCATTTTTTTTGTTTCTAGTCCTTTTTGAATGCATGCCATAAAAATTTTTACATAGAAAAAATTATTGAAATAAATTACAATAAATTTTTTTTCTATATTTTAAAAGATTACATTACTAACATAAAGTTGTATTGTTTTTTAAAGTTTGTTTGTAAAATGACTAATTTCCAAATGTTTAAAATTTGGCTGACAATGATTACGTATTTTTATTTAAAGATGTAATTGTTTATGGTAAATTTTGACTTAATTATAACAAATATTCAAATAAATTGCAAACATTTGTAAAAAATTTTAAATTAAAATTATTGCTAAATGTCGATTATACATAAATTCTCTTTATTAAAATAATTGTTGCTTGTAGTTAATGTTTCGAGATGCAATAAAAAGTAAATTTAGACATTAGTTTTAAATAATAAAAGGATGTGATGTGTATTTTCTTAAAACTTGCTCATATCAACAAAAATAATACTTATTAAGCACTTGTACTAAAATAGGATGTTTTAAAACAAAATTGAATGATAAAAACAGTATAATATAATTTACTTGTTGAAATACAAAAATAATTTTTCACTGACAACACTTTGTAAATAGTTTTATGGCAAATATGTTATCGAATATAAAGCTTAAAATATAAATAAAATTATAAAGAATATATCCTATCGGCAAATTTCTAAATAATTCTACATTTATTTAATAGAAACCAAGAAAATTTTAAAGAACTGTTAATTTTATTTTTTGTTGCTCTTTTAAACTAAAATATGTGTAAATGTTAGACAATACATAAATTTAATAATAACTTTTATAAAAAAATAAAACAATAATTATTTGAAAAATAAATATGAAGAGTTTTCAAACAATCAAAGAAAATGATAAAACTTTAGTATTTAAAAAAAATATTGCATTTTAAAATTTATCATTGTAGCATTAAGAATGCCAAAAAATTTTTTTATAAATTTTAAAAACATTTATCAGAACTTATAAAATAGATTTTCCCATTTTCAGTAGCATCTATAACAGATGCAATCAGTTGACTGTTTGTATAAAAACAAATTTTTTATGTTATTTTGTAAGACTGATAGTTTATTTAAACATTTTGCTTATCTTAGTTTAACATAAAAATAATATTGTTGTAGTCATTTGAAGAGTAGCGAAAAAACTTTTAGATAAATATAATATACATAGCTAACTTAAAAAACATTTAGAATTACAATTTAAAAAAAACAAAGACACAGCTGATGTTACTAAAATATATCACGATCATTGTCATGCCTTAACACTACAAAAATTATTTTAAAATTCCCCAAATGTGATTAATTGATGATAAAACATGTAATTAAATATTAATTAAAGTCTCATAAATATTTATTTAAGAAGATTTGCTTGAACAAGATATATGTGATTTAATGATCTTGAGTATGGAAAAGATACAGGCCCTTAAAGGTTCAGAAATAATAAACCGTTTTAATAAAAATATAATATAAACTTAGTTTTTATTCTTTGGGTTAAGACAATCGTGCACACCAAAAGCAAAAATACTAAAATTTTTAATCTGAATTTTTACATGAAAATTTAATGTTTTGTATTTCATTAAATAACTTGATAAGAATCACGACCTGCGTAAATTTTTACATAATCATTTCTTGCAAAATAAGAATTTGAAATTATAGAAAATAACATAATCGTACTGATTGAAAAATGATTTAGTAAAAATTGGACTAAATCGGGCAGCAGACCGGTATTTTTTGATATTTCCAAAATTTGAAATTTTTTAACCCCTAAAATGATAAAACTCAAAGAGGAAGAGGAGTACCAAAAATTTGCAAGTGAAGTCAATAACCATTATAACA